AGAGTGGTTTGTATTTGCACGTAGCGTTGCCAAACTTACGATGGTACAAACTAGTTTTTCACGTTTCATTGATGAGTGCAAAGAACTTGGACTGCTTGACCATGATGCTGCATGGGGGGCAGCCACGGAGTCCATGAGACGCGAGATTTCAATCTGCATCTCTTGATGCTGCTCATGTGGAGACTGTTCACAGGTGACAACTGCGACAGATGTGAAAGGTACCGCTTTGAGCTTGCCGGTACCGCTTTGAGCTTGTCAGTTTGGGTAGATTGTTCTCATTTGAGGCACTGCAGACCATTCTGACATTTGGGGGAATTTTCTGTAGAAATATTCCTCAAAGCAGCAGGCTCTGAAGACCATCTACTTTGTTGCCCAATAATTGTTGCACATGACATAGGAGCTGGCTTGGTGTTCTGTAGCCAAGGTTTGCTTCATGGAGAAGCTGTGGCAGCCATTTACTTTCGGGAATGGGGGCTGATCTTGCGAATGAGTGTTGCCTTCAACGCCTCGATGACACCTGATGGTGGGAAAGCAACAGACCTCGATTTTCGATAGTGGTTGATGGTGGCAGACTGCTCACCTCATAATGATATTTTATGGAATCTGCTATGATGCGCTGTGAAGCAAATAGTGACTCTACCTGAATGAACCTAAGTGCAGGATCCGCAGTGCAAAAGGGAGGCAGTTTGACGTCGACGCTGCAGAGTGCCGTTGTGTTGGGGCCTTGCTCATAGCTTTTGCTGCTACTCCTGGTCACCAATCTTGTGCAAGACGCGAGCGCGGCTGGAGATCAGCCCAGAGAAGCGAGTAGTAGTAGGAAACGACTAACTTTACTTCTGTGTCTGTGCAGCCACTGCGACTCCGTCGCACACCCTTGCACCACTTCCCTTTCTGGCACACAACGCGATAAAATTTAACAGAAAATATGAGAAAGGTTGTTTGGCTGCTGCTGTGTGACCATGAGGCTGCCACAAATGCAGTGTAGCCTGTGGCCATTGAGTAACCTAGAGTAGAAAGCAAACAGCACGAACTCATTTGACCAACAATGATACCTTCACGAGCAATGTTTGTGACATCAGCAATTGCACGACAGCTGTGAGATCTTTTGCTCTTCATTAGGTTACACAAGAACTGTGCACACTATCACTTAAATTTTAGTGATCGCAAACATCACACCTCCAATTTATCGACAACACCAAGGAATTATTTCAATCAGATTGGGTGAAAATACCCTCTAGTTCTATATTGAGCAAACCACACTGAAACAATCATTAGCACCAAGCTTTAGTTTTTGCTGTTGGACCGTGCTCACACAATAAGGAATCAGCGTAAAAACAAAAAAGAAGAGAACCATGACTCAAGTACAGTGAGAGCCCGCACCAACTTTCTTGATGATGAATCCTCAGCAACTAGCTCAGTTTTCTGTCATAAACATGAGAACACCAAAATTGAAACCTCAAGAAGCTTATGTTTCATCGTACTGTATAGGTTGATACTATCGACCGATTACTATTAATGCCAGATATTACCTTTTAGATATTTCAAACTGCTTTTAAAGTAAGCGTGAGTGCTCATTTGAGATGGCCTTGTAATATTCCCACTGGAATGATCTAAATGATCACACCGTGTGATTTTTCACCCATAAAAGCAAATACTGTTGATATCAGAGAAAGACTGCAAAGTGCACACAATACAACAACTGCAAAGGCTATTGTTCCTCACCCTTCTCCCTCTGTTGTCAGGCTGCTATACTAAGGGACAACTTTCTGTGGCAATGCAGCAAAGGCTACAAAGCCGAGCAACACTGATTTGATAGCGTCGCTGCACACCTGGTAGTAGTGCCACACAAACTTATTTGAAATGTGTAAACTAAGCATTTCAAAAATGTGCAGTTCTTATTTTTTAGCCTCAAATTAACAATGCTACTAATTTCTCAGCCAGATTTCCATTCTTTTAGGTTTAGCATCCTTCACTAGTGTCACCTACGTTCCCTTTAGAGAAAAAACAAAGAAGAGACAAAGCTTTTTTTTTTTTTTTACAATAACTTGGCACTTGCTCTGGTAGCTTGCCACTTCAATCAGTGTAGCGGACTTTCAAGAAGCTTTATGACTAAAGGCTGGCAAAACAAACAAAGCAAGTAGTCTGCAATGTGTACAATGTGAACAAGCCAGTGGTCTGCAGGTGAGACTGATGCAGCCAGCACTCTTGTTTCCACATTGCATCTAGTTAGCTAGCTTACCAACGTGAGCAAGCATACTGTTACACGGATATGGCAGAGAATCTGAGTGGTACCCTGGTCAGAAGCAAATGAAGCATAGGGAAAGAGTTGCCATTATGCTTGCCTACTCAGTGGTTGTGGCTCAACATACTCAACCATGAAAAACGTGTGAAAAAATAAAATGTAGCAAATACGTATATGTCAAGCGGAGACCAAAACCGAAAACCAGTACAGTCGAATCTCATAAATTCGAACACGCTTAATTCTAACTTCCGGTTAATTCAAACTCACGCTGTGGTCCCATTGGAATACACGCTGTGTATTCCAATGGGCGAAAATGCTTTGTAATTCGAACGCGCAAGCACTCGCGGCGGTTAATTCGAACATACCGCGCTCAGAAAATGCTCTCAGCACCACACCCAATCCCATGGCACCACCTCCGACACCTCAACGCTGCGCGCAATGGAGGAAAAGAGAAAAAGGAAAGATAAGGCTGTGGCCGAATGTTTGCTCTCTCTCAAATGCAGACTTACGATGCACCTGTGCCATACTTCTCCCTTTTTCATCTCTACCACGTAGAGACCCTTTTCCTTTCAATGCCGCAAGCGAAAAGAGCAAAAAAAAAAGAAAAAGAAGAAGAAAAAGAAGCTGCCACGGAGTGTTGGTTCTCTCTCAAATACTGATCTGCTTCTCTCTGCGTGGAGACCCTCCTCCTTTCTCGTCACGTGCTGGCCACGCTGCGGCTGCAATGAAGAAGGTAGCAGCGGAGACGCAGTTGTCGCCATCGTCTTTGTTGCCATCGGCTGGACATTACCACGCACAACTTCTCTTGCCAGGAGACTGCTAAAGCCGAAGTATAAATGCTTTGAAAGCTGCATGCAAAATTGGCTGACTCGCTGCAAGGCGAACAAGTGCAGACGCCCATCACCGATTCATTCAATTAAGGACGGATGTGCTGTGATTTTGAATAAATGTAAGCCTTCTGAATTTCGCCCTCGTCTGTTAGCTCAATGCACATCTGCCACTGCATGGTGAGCCCTCTGCTTATTTAGCTTTCATTAATTCGAACTTGTTTTAATTCTAACAAATTTTCGGGCCCCTTCAATCTCGAATTATCGAGATTTGACTGTATATCAAAAACTACTACTTTGTATGTCAATGAGGTGAAGGCAAAAAGAAACTCCTATGTCTCCTCACAAGGTCTTTACTCCTGACCTATAAGTTCAACAGCACATGTCAAATTATAGAAATAATTAACTGCTCATTCCGCAGTATGCGAATAGGAATGAAAATTAAAAAAACACTTTGACATGAATATCAGGAAAAAGCGTACACAAATTGTAATAGTGGAAGTAAATGTCTGCATATTAAGCACATACAGTATAAAGCAAAAGGTAAACAACAGCATTTTATGATACATCATTGAAAACTTATACGTTTGTAAAAGACATGAGAAGTACTTTTACTTGTTTTTTAGAATGAGAAACACATGTGGTTTCATTGGCCAGTTTGATTGAGGATGGGTGTGCACTACACAACAAAGTTATTTGATAATCTAACGTTTTAGTGCCGTAGCTAGTTCACGGCCTTGATCCCATCAGTGATGTAGTGCGTAGGTTGTATGCCACTTGTCTGGTTAAATATTTCTTCGAGAAGGCGGTATAATCATGTTTAATTTTGTAGAAAATCATTGCTGCTAAGCAAAATTTATACCACTGGGAGTACGGTAGTATGTGTGAAGTTTTATAAAGAAAATCATCTGATGAGGATGGATGAGAGGAAATCAGTTTCAAGCTTCTTTTTTTGTAAAGAGGAAACACATTTGGCATGTCTTGTTGCATGTACCCCTGACTAGATGACAGTATGTTAGATGAGAATGAATAAATGGGAAATACAATTGTTTTCTAATACATAATAGCAGAAATATTTTAATTTTTATAACACATAAAGACACCTAAATAACTTGACATGAATATAGTTTATATGTTGAGACCAACTGAGATCAGCCCTGATAATTACTTCCATTAAATTACTCCTAGTAAGCTCCACCTACCATAGCTTTCGCTCCATTGCCACACAAACTTGTCCCCGAGTATCGCATTGACTATTTGCCCAGGAACGTTTCTTTTTTCCTGGCAGGGCCTACACTTAACAGGCTTAATATACTGAAGCACCCACATCATTTCAGTATTTACCACATGCAGCACCACAATTGAAAAACTGCGCTTTCAGCAACACCAGAGTGTGAGCACACAGGACCTTAGATGCCCTCCAGCTGCGGGGCGCTAGTTTCTTACGGTTTTATGCGAGGATTCGGAAGTGATGCAATAATCACACAGATTAACAATGGCAGGATTAATTACGAGATGATTACGAGATGATTACAAGATGATTAATTACGAGATAATTTACCGATGTCTAAGCAAATGCGCCCCCCCCTCCCAACCTCTGACCATTTTCATTGTGTCATTCACTTCCCGATGCGGGCAAAGAAGAACCGTGAGCATATGCGTATTAAAAAAGCACTTCATTAGAAACACGGGAGTGTATTCATTTTTCTTAACAGCTGTTCACTGCCACCTCAAATCATTCACAACCAAGCATGGAACCCTTCCCAAATCTTGAACTATGTTTCACAATAGAAGGCTTGCTCGGGATTTCGCAGTCAGGAGTCTTCAAAGAATATTAGTCGATTCTACATGTCATTGTCTTCCTGTTCACAAGAATTGTTTGCTTGAAGGTACAGATATCCTTAAACACCATCACTCATGCATGAACTTACCCAAAACTGCACTGAGGTCAACATCCGGAGGAATTGTGAGCGTTGTCTGACTCCAAGCTGCACAGCAAAGCACATGTGCGAAACAATTAACGAAGATCCACTGATTAAGCAACTTAAACATACCAATTTTTATAGTGAACATCAGAGGACATAGCTATGCCTATAATAAAATGGTACTTCGATGGTATTCTGATGTGCCAACAGGCCTAATATACCACAGTAGTGAAGATATCAAGCTCCACTGGGACTGAATATAATGTCTCCAACGATGAATAATGTTCTTGATTATAGTGACATCTCGTTCATTTATATTTCCCTTGATTGGGAAGAAATACTAATAAAACTTATGTAAAATCTTTGAAGGTATGAGGAAAACAAACAAATACTACTCCCATGAGCAATTTTATTGCCTGAATGAATTGGCAAATCCAGTTATTTAGTCCAAATGCAACAGGCAAGATGCAATTCTCAACATCCTACAACTAATTTTCCCCAACACAGTCAAAACACAGAACTCGTGATGTTATCAGCATCTGCTTATCATTGCCTACATCATTGTTTCACTGGCACAATCCCGGTTTCTGCAAGCGAGGTGGTTGGCGATGTTGTCTATTGCAATGTAGCCGACAAGTATTGCAATTGTAAACATACTATGGTCAAATCTCTCCACACCTAACATCTCATAGTGTGAACACAAACAGAGTCATAGGACCGAAAACTCCCTCACGAGTCGACAGTCTCTCAGATTGAGCCACGAGTGTGTGCTTGAGTTCGGGTGAGTAATATTTTGTTGAGTTCAAGTCTGAGCTAGTCCAGTAGAAAAAAATTTGTGAGTGCGATTTCAAGCGAGTTCGTTTGAAGAGCGTTTTGCAGAGTCTCAGTCAAAGTGAGTTCTAAGCAAAAGATATACTTTTCAGCATGTCTCGGCAAGTACTTTTTTTTTTTTTGCCAACCTATGGTCACACGAGATCACGAACTTTTCTGAAATAGTTTGCAGGGGGAGGGGCCATCGAGGCAACTCCGTATGGAATCCTCGCCTTTGATCAATAATGAGATGGTGAATGAACAATATAGCTTCGCAATGCTTTCAAGTAGACACAAGTCCAGTCTACTGATGTCTACTTACAAATCATTCCAAAGCAGTATCATTCATACACCGTCTGATTATTTATTGATCAGAGGCATGACTTTCGTGAGGGGTGCCTTGACCATCCCCGCCAACTGTTCTAGAGAAGTTATTGATTTCGTTATCTCATGTGAGTCATCTCTTTCAAGAAAATTGTTCTTACTGAATTGCAACCATTTATAACTCATAGTCTTAAGTATAAGATCAAAAGACACCAAAAAGAGCAACAATTACATTATATATTGATGGTAAAGAGCATTGACACAAAAATCTGTTGTGTCAGGGTTGAACTGGCCACGACGCCGACGATGCCAACGGCAGCCACTCACGACTTGGGCATGGAGTGCCAAGAGAAAGAATCTCTGCCTCGAACAATAGACCGTCACCAACTGACTTATTTACAACTATGTACACATATGCCTCATACGTACCTTAGTGGTGCATTTCACATACATCGCTGCCGTTGCGAGGTCCCACCTCGCAACTGGAACCGAAAACAAAACTAAACGGAACATCACAACACAACAAAACCATCACAAGGACGCAATGCTACTAAAAAATATAAAGCAGGGCAACTCAAAAAATGTGGTCCGCAGTATGTATTAAATAAAATAAAAATAAAAATAAAAAAGATCCCGTTACGTCCCTGGTAGACTTGCAGAGGCCAGCTATGATCCTGTACATGCACAAGGTCACACACAGCCAGAAAAAAGTGGCTAGTTGATTCAACGTGCCATTGGTTCTCTTTGCCCCGAAGAAGCACATTCAGCTGTGTTGGCGCACCACATGCGTAGAGCAAAAGGGGGCTGCCTAAAAAACCCTGAAAAACATTTTGTGAAGTGTGCTAACAACGCCGTGTACAAGATTACACCAGATCTACACCAGCCAGACAGGGCGCTGCTTCAATGACCGACTCAGGGAACACGAAAGAAACCTTGATAACAAGGAGAGAAGTCACCTTCTTGATCACTGCTTGGTTTGCCCACACTGTGAGCCGCGATTTCGCCGTGCGAAAATCCTAGGCAGAAGTAGAGATAAAACGGCTTGCAGAACGCTAGAACCTTTTTTAATTAAAAGAGCAGGTGACAAGTGCGTGAGTGAAACCTCCATTGCACTGTACAATGCTGAACTATAATTTCTTTCTCACCTGGTTCGAATTTTTTCGGTTATTGTAACAGTGTCCCCGTGCAAGGTGTTGATGTATAACGGTGTAGATTTTCTTTGAATGAAGTCAGTTGGTAGTTCACGCCTGTTCTCATCTGTTTCTTTCTCTGTGTTGTGTTTAGTTGCACCCTTACGATGGTTTTGAAATCAAAGCACCAACTCACCCAACAGTTCTTTTAAAGCATCGACACCATAGCTGAACAGGCTAATTCAAGGCCGACAAACTAGCAAGTCGACTCACTTGGACTCCCAGACTCAGATTGAGGCGAGAGTCTGATGGCATATTCGGTTGGCTGCTCCGGCCCCCTGGCTAGGATTCACCACATGCTGAGGCACCTCGCAATCGGAGCGCCAGAGGAAGCGTACCAATCAAATGTGTCAGCGATATCAGTGCAGCACGACTGTAGTGCCATCAGTGCAGCCAGTGCGGAAAGCTGCCGGCTAAACATTTCGGCGCCGCATCGCCAAATGACGCCGATCAGTTCCGGCCATCTCCAATACATCTGGACGCAGTGACATTCTTCTGAGCTCAGCACGTAAATATGGCGACCGTCATCGTCCAAGCTGCTATCTTCAAGGCAAATTGCGTGGCTGTCTGCGAGCTGCTATAACGACAGCATTGGCATTACCTTCACCTTCGCTAGCTGCCTCTATTTTTGACATGATGCATTTACTGCTTCGTAAATGTGAACTAATCACACACACGCTAAAAAATGCCTTAACAATGCACATGCACAAAGGATTATGCACCCGGGGTTGTCCTCTTGCAAAATATGCATTCGTGCTGTAGGCACTGTTCACCTTTTGGCAGCCGCGCGATTTGTCTGATGGTGTAATGTGATATATCCTCTTGGTCAGATCACGACTCGCTCTCACTTCAAAGTCAGAGGGCTCCAAGTCAGAGGCTGATGCTCCAAAACAACCAACCGAAGGTAGTCCAAGTCCTCGAATTCTACCAACCGAACACTAAACCACTTTTCAGAGCCCTCGTAAACGCCCAACCGAATACGCCAGGTACGAGTCTGGGCGAGTAATATTTCTATTAGTTTTAAGTATGGCCTTTCGTTCTTTCTAAACGTCTGCGTCGCAGCCAGTTCAATCCAAACACAACAATGGCAACGAGGTGAAGTAGGAACGATTTCTTTCGCAGCCTCTTCTTTTCAGTATGCCTCAACGATTCTATTCTGCTGCAATGCTACTTCGGCGTTTCCCACCATCGCTCCTTTGTTCTCCGTAGCGACCGCAGAGTCGCACCTTGTTCTGCGTTTCCTTGTCGAGCGGCTCCGTGTCTATTCGTGAATGCTGCAGCCTTCTTTCTTTTCACGTTAGCATTTTTGTTTTTGTGTTCGGTTTCTTTCTCGTTAGTGTAGAGTTTTCCCGGTTATGATGGCATCTCCCATGCCTCCACCACTCTTTCTTTCCACGCCCGGGGATCCGCCAATCCCTTCGGTTAATTGAAAGTTCATTTTCGAAGCATACATGGATGCTGTCAGGGAAGACACTCGTAAGCCAGAGCGGCGGAAGGCCCTGCTGCTTAAGTACGAGCGAGTCCGGTGGCAAAACATTTTTGCAAGTGAATGCCTCAGTGAGTCAGTTCAAGTGATCCCTAAGTAAGAGAGCTCAACAATTTTTGCAGAATCAAGCCAAGATTACTACCTACAGTTTGCCACAGCAGGTGCAGAGGAAACTTGCAGTTAACTGCGGTTGCAAATGATAAGCACGCAGTTCTGAACACATATGCAGACGAAAACCCAAATGTTGTGGGCAGGCGTGCAATCTGTTCTTTCTCGTCATTTATGCATGCGTCCCATTCGTGTTGATGCACCATGTGCAGTTTGGTCCAATTCAGCTAGAGCAGCCAAACATACTTAAAGCACCAAGAGGGCTCTTGGTGCCCTCGTATAATGTATGCACTTGAAAGCATGAGTGCTAATACTATCACTATCTTCGCTACTAACCAGAGTCCAAACAAGGTTTCATTGTCACAGAAAAAATTTACACACAACAATGCAGATAAGCAGACTGAACTGGAGAATGTGCCTCAGCCTGTCCGAGGCACTTTTATTTGTTTGTTATGCTTGTCCCCGCAGCGATTTAGGCAGAGCACTTTACTAATCACTCCGATCTGATTAAATGAACACTATGTGCAATAACGAACAAATATATACTGACTGTTTAAAATGTGCAAGACCTTTTTCATTAAAGGGACAATGAAGGGCAAAACAATTTTTCACATATTAGTAAGGTACGATTTCAAAATCGTGGGAAAAACCACATTTACCACGACACGGTGCTTGGTAATCCAAAAACGGGCGAAAAGTAAAAACGGGTGGAGACGCCACCTTGAGATTCCTGCACTAAACATTGTGAAATACGTTTCAAAGGCGTCTACTGGGCCTTACTAACCTCTAACTGATAAAAAGTAAGTACCTTGTCATCTGCAGGTGCCATAGGCCTAGTATACAAAGTTTCAGAAATTTTCATGAGGGTCAATGTCGTGAAAATGTAAAAAACGATATTTTGAAATTTCTGACATCACACGTGACGATTTCGGCACAATATTTAAAAGTTAAAGTTCCATTTTGATTTTCACCACTAGAAAAAAACTTTTAGAGAGACATATGGCATTACAGTTTTCACAGTGCAATTTGTGAATCTAAATGGAGTCATTGTTTTACATTAGTGTCCCGTTAAAAAAAATATGGACATTCTATTAAAATATTGTTACTCAAGCACTCCCATGAACTTATCTTTATTTATCTCTATA